ACTACGGTACGGCAATTCCGAGTTACCCAAGCTATATGAGAGCCAGTGCCCTCCAACACACTACTGGCATCCCTTATGAAAAAATTATGAAGAGTGGTATGTAAGCAAAGTCATGAAAAATAAGAATTAAATGAATGTAAATAAAAAATCAGTGTAAGACTTACACATTACATGTTATAATCAAGTCATACGATTTCGCGCTCTTATTAATGAAACTCATTCACCCACTCATTTCAATGTTAATATCTAAAATCGTTTGGTATCTAAAAAAAATAAGCAAACTGCACAAATCACAGAGTAAAGATGCGTCATACAACCGTACCGCGGTTAGCAAAGGTAAAGCGAAAAATGTGGGAGGGTGCCGCGCTGAAAATCTTTCACACCTTGCGGACCCCCCGTTGCAGAGGTGAATGAAGCACCCGGCTAACAAAACGCTCGTAGTAAAACGGTCGGGAAAGCGAGACCAAGTCTCCGATGGACTCAACAGTGATCCCAAGACGTTGCATCTTCGTGGAATTCGGGACTGCTAGGCCCGGTACCCCTGGAACAGCCATCGAAACCTCATCGGTTCCGGTCAATTTCGAAAATTCGAGGAAAAGCCGTGTAATTGAAAGGCATTACGCGAAGAGAAACGTTTTGCCGTTGGAGCTCACGCTATTTGTTAGGAAAACTTTATTGGGGACCTTCTGGGAGTTCTTGGTGCGCGATGAAGGAATAAAGGACTGGCCGTTGTTAGGTGGAAATTACGTTCGAAGAGGGATCCATTTATCTTTCGACTATTGATCTGACTCTCGTATAAAATAATTTTAGTACCGGAAACAGTAATTCGTGTTTTCGGGTGGCAAACTTGGGATAGACGCCCGACGACTCACTTGGAAGACTAATAAGTTTGAGGTCAGCTTAAAATGCACCTTTTGGCTGTATTTCGTTAGTGTGCAAATTATTTATTCTTTGAATATTGTACGCATGTCCACGATGGAGACGTTTAATATTAATAATAATAAGAAGAAGAGAAAGAAGAAGAGATGATGAAGAAGAATTGTGGTTGCTTATTGTCGGTAGACGTACGAATCTATTGGTCACTCACAATAGATAAACATAAACAATAATGGTAAATCTACCTGTATATGGCTCGCTTTATATGTTGCAACGTATATATTAAATAAATAAGAAGTAGCAACAAATTTAAGACACAAGTGATATAATTCAAAATAGCAGAACACATAAAATGAGCGGCATGCGCCCTAATAACTTTTTAGCACACATATCTGCCATATTAATCTACTATTTAAAATGTTTAAATTATAATATTAGACAACATAAATTATAATATTAACAACTTTTCCTGAAACATAAACTAAAGTGACTGTAAATCCGATCTACATATTTGTGATTGCTTCCTTCACTATAACACAACAAAAAATATAAAAGAATAATTACATGTACAAATTAAATAGAATTACATGAATTGTTCTTATATTTTGTACTTAAAAAAAATCACGCTACCCAATTCTTTAGAAACTAACACTTGTGGAAATAATATGGTGGTTGCAAAATATGGATGTATCTCTTCTTTGTACTATCACTTTATATCATTTCATAATATTCTTGAAGTGGCAAGGGTTAATGTACTACTCGAGTACATAGAGATATTTAAAAATAAGCAATGGCGTCAATACTTCTTTTACCTATTATATAGCTGACTCAAGTCGGTTGAATTGAAAACGTGACGCAGTAGTGGTAGCTGGGTGTAACAAAATCAGAGAGATCGCGCTGGAAGCAATGAAAAATTAATAGGAGGGTTGCGTCGGATTTACGAGTGCAGAGAATCGGCTTCCCGTCTTCTCTATCGGAAAGATAACGAGGCGTGGACCTAAAGTGACACCTGAGGTGAGCTCGTGACACGTTACGAGGGTAGCTGCAGGCATCCATCACTTCTTTGTGCAGTTGCGGAGTGACACCTGGTTCTTAAACCACCCTCCTCGCCCCCTCCGGTACAGTACACTCCGCTCCTTTTCAAAGTTCGTTCGACGACCACCGTGGCCGAAACCCACCCCCGACCAACACCCTCGAGCAACGACGCGTAGCGGTTTAAAAATAAATAAAAGTGCACGGAGACTTCGGTGATGGGTAAGCCGCCGCAAAGCTGAGATTATTTTTATTGATGACTTTCGAGCCGCGCGACGGAAAAAATCGGGAAAAAAGATTTGGTGAAATCGTAGGACGGATTGAAGTTTGCGTCGATAGGGCGAAAGTTCGACGATAGATTGATCGCACTTAATTGAGGATTGTATAGAATATTTAGTGGATCGTGTGGTTTGATTGTTGTTGTAAGGAACATTATTCGATGAGGGCCATTTTGGATATGCGTCGGGAGAGAAGAATCCTTATGTGACATGCTCTGGTGCATTATGAAGTTCAAACATAAACTCGATGTAATTTCATTATAAAGAAAGTTCAAAGTAACAAAATCAAGAAAAATTAAATGTACTGATATTTTTCAAGGTTAGAAAGGGTGATATGTCTATGTTAAATGGTTATAACATTTTAATACGTCCACGATTATACATAAAATAAATATATGTATACATTTTTTTTTAACAGTTAATTGTAGTTGCATCAGTCACATTATATTAGCGAATTAATGGAAGCTAGTTGCTCATGAGTTACGATTTTTGAAAGAGATTCATTTGTTTAAAAAAATGAAAGAATTTTTTAAGTGTGTCTAACAACGATAATCTATCTATTAGTTAGTAGAAATTCCGTTTCCATTTTTCTTTCACTACATAATAAAATTCTTAATTTACCCAATCGTAGTACAATAGACGTAGTAATTGCTTCGAATATGATTTGGAAGTATTTATACAAACTTTAACATCACATCTCGATTAATTAACTATTATTTCTTGACTCTTTAGCCAACGATACTGTTTAAATATTGTTCTTTTTATAATCCTTTGCAACGGTAATCAGTGTTAGAATGAAACTGGGTGGAGACAAAAATGTCGGTTGGAAGTGAAATTTGTGGTTTCGCGAGTAAACATTTTTCTGCCAGCTCATCGTGGTCGCGATGACAAATTCGAATGCATCCGCGTTGTCATTAGGGTAATCGATTCCGGACGTTACGCGGCAAAAATTTTACTCTGTGTCATCTTCTGGGTCGCAGAGCGGCCTGCGGCAAATGTCTGGGTTGTATTTACGAAAATTCCTGCAAGATTTTTGCGATGAACTGTGCGATGACACAGACACTGTCATTCTGCATCACCTTCTAGCTAACTGATCGTTTAATGAAAGAATGCACTTTATCTACTTTTTGTTGGGTTATTCAGGAAATTTGTGTCAATTTTTAAGAAAAATTCAAAGGCACATTGGAACTTTTCTATTTATTTATTTAATTACATAGGTACAATTTTGCTCCACAACTTTTCCACCTTTTCAGCGATATTATAAGGTGTAAATGTTATTTGTTTTCAACCATACCGATATATTCAGACCTGTACCGCCTTACCAAAAATCGACATGGACTTTCCAGACAACCCAATATTTAGTATTATAATATCATATATTACTTAACCTATCACATTTTGATGTTATCTATTCTTAATTTCACTTCTTACTTTAGATTTTAGTTGTTTTCAAGTACTGACATATTGATACTGGTACATTTTGCCGTTTCTTTTCCTCTATTATATTTATATATACGGACCTCGTAAACAGTGCCGCAGAGGCAACGAATCCATCTTTGCCTCGTATTCAATCAATCAAAACATTACAACCGAGGAATAATGCGATCGAATGCACGAAAACAGGAAGAACAATGGAGGCACGAGTTTTAGATGCGGTGGACAATCGAAGACGGTCGAGAAGAATATCTTCGATACTCGAATTTACAGTAACGCACGCGTAATTTATACATTGATGGAGTTCGTTAAAACGAAGGGTTCGTTAAGCACAATGAAAGGGTAACCGAGGGACAGCCGGATCTTGTTTCCGTCAAATTCCTTACAGTGTCTCGCGGGGCGCATTAGCTGGTTCGGTCGTTTCCAAAAATAAAAAAGGGACACGGAGTACGGGATCCTGTCTTCACCCTCCCGTCGAGAGTTTCCTCATTGATCGGGAAAGCGAAATCCAGGTGTCCTGGTCCTCGCAGGCCTTCATATTTTAACTCGTCAATGGCGAGGACGGAGCCAGGTGCAGGTGTCCCATAAAGCGGCTGCACAGAATGAAAAAAGGACGGTGCGCGGGCGGCGGAACGAATTTTCCAACCTGGAGCCTCCTGCCCTTGCGTCTTGGAACATTGCCGATTTCCGATTAGAGCCATCTACCGTGAAAGGGTTGACACGCGACTAGGATTGATGGCAGCTCGATGAAACGGGGATTTCTCCCTGGGTCGTCAATTTCGGAAGGAAGTGGAAACTGTTTTAGGATGTGTTAGGTTTATCCAGAATAATAAATAGTTGTGAAATAACCAAATAAGCATGGATTAATCGAAGCAGAGAGAGCTTGTCGAACTATTGATAAATGTCAGCTGTGTCTTACTTAATCAGGAGAGTAAAATCAAAGGCTTGTTAAGGTAAATTGATGCTGACGTTCGGTAGGTGGTATTAAGTCAGGTCAGAAAATATCAAAATTATTTAAAATAGATAACATTACTCTTTATATGATACACAATCTCCAGTTTAAATGGATTTAGTAACTATTAACGATGTATTGTTGATTGTGTTTCCATCTCTCATGAGAAGAAGATGATATAAATTTGTAAGTCATTACAAGATGTCTTTCGCAGCTTGGTTCTTCATAGTTGATACTAAACGCGGTTTCAGGTTGTAAGTCGAACCATTTGGTTAAAATATTCCAGAAGCATACGTGTTACATTAATCCTTTGACGAGTAAGCATTTTTGGGAAATACACACGGTTTATGAGTAAGTAATAATAACATAAACATACCATAACCATAACATAAACAATATTTTATTTTTTATATATATTTGACTACATACTTTAATACATAAATTAGTAAGAAGTTGTATATATGTTATTTATTTAATAACTATATTATATGTATCGTATATCATAATCACTTTTAAGTGGAAGTAGAATCTGAAAACTGGAAATGTGGTTATTTGATAAAATATTTAAGACAGCAAAATACAATGTACTGTATCAGATATGTACTTACTTCCAAAGTATTAAAACTCATTTATTGTATAGTATTCCTCAAAGCGCGGGTATATGCACAATGGAACAACGTCACGCATAGATTGTCAGACACTTCTCATTAATGTTATACTTCTTTTCCGTAGTGGACAGATGGAAAAAAATCGAGATATAATACCTTAAACACGATAATAGTAATGAAGATAACCGAAAGCATAACAAACGTTTACGGCTGTGAATTTGTATTCTGTTTCTGCGCCCGTACTCGTCAAAGGGTTAATATTTTTATTACCTTCTAAATATCGCAACAAAGTCTCATTACAAAACTGAGAGAACACTTACGATAAAACGTAAACTTGGTAGCGTAGTAAAACTCTCGAGAAAGATAAAACTAGTCTCTCGTTGGATAAAACTGCTTCACGGAACGGGTCATCGATGACCCAACGTTTATCGTCAGTGAATTAAGAGGTACCAAACCGAAAGTATAACAAACGATTACAGCTGTGAATTTGTACTCTGTTTCTGCGTCCGTACTCGTCAAAGGGTTAATATCTCTATCGCCTTCTAAATATCGCAGCAAACTTTTATTACAAAACCAATAGAACACTTACGATAAAACGTAAGCTTGGTAAAACTCTCGAAAAAGATAAAACCAGTCTCTCGTTGATTAAAACTGCTTCACGGACCGGGTCATCGATGATCCAACGTCTATCGTCCGTGAATTAAGAGATACCAAATTGATCATTCCCTCGTCGCAGGCGATTCGATTCTGGCAGCTCGACCCGTCCGCTGAAACGTATCGATCAATCGACACCTTGGCGACCATCGGATTTGAGGCCGCGGAGGCCGACGTCATCGGCAAGGACGGCCGCGAGGGAACTCGTCAGTCTCCGTTGATAGAAGGAGGCGGCAGTTCTCATTAATAACCGGTGACTCGGCGTTTATATAAATAAATTGTACGCGGTCGCAGCCACTCACCTGCGATTTGGTCGATCGCTCACTATCCTGACGTGAAAGAAGCCTCGCCGCCTCCTCCACCCACTCGTCCCGCCTCTCAGAAATATACCGATCCATCCACTGGCCTGTTCGCCGTTCAGCCTTATCCGTTTCGTCTCTCTTCCACTCCTCGATGAATTTTCTCCATCTCTCTCCTCTCCTTTCGTCTTCGTCTCTCGAATGCGAGCTTCTCAAACGGAATTCCAAAAGGCACTAGAGCAAAGCAGTGCGCGCCAGTGCCGGGTCTATGAATGCCGCGGCCCCCGATGCTCGGTCATTTATTTCGGCGGCGGTGTACTACCCCCGAAATGGCCGAATGAATGCGGCAACCGTGCCCCTCGCCCCTTGCACCGCCCGTTTGCTCTCTTGTCTCGACGGCGGAGTTAGGATCGTTTTGAAAATCGAGGTCGAGGGCCAGCCCGACCGGCGGCCTCCTCCGCTGCTCCTCTAGACCCTCCGCTCTTGCACGGAGCTCCTTGTGGCTCCTTCTTGCTCTTTCGACTCCGTTCCTCGCCCGGTGGATCCCTCTCGACGTATCGAGCTTCGTGCCGCTGAAAAGGGCCGGATCGTCGTCGACGACGACGACAACAACGTCGATCTGGTTTTTATAGAACACCGCCTACCCGGTTCCTTTCCTCCCGCTCTTCTGTTCTCGGCGTTTTCCTCCAGACGACTCCGATAGAGTCGGATGGAGCTCACCTCCGGAACCCTTGTCGGATGCGAGCTTCTCGACGATAGAACGCGAGCAGGAATGTCTCGCGTCGCGAAGCAAGAAATCCTTGCCGCGTATCGCGAACTTTTAATCTCGGAATTCTTAGTAGACACCGGGAGGAAAATTCGCGAATCATTCGGATACCGTACAGGTCTATTTGTATCTTTTGCGTTTTTTGTAGTTTTGTTTCTTTTCTTGTTCGACTTTGAATTTAACCATCGGTGGAGACGGCGTATGTCTGGGAAACATTGATAATAATAACACAGAATAATCTTACACTAAATAGTGTGAATTTGGTTTAAGTGCCTCTTTTCTTGAAGTTTTTCACTTGTATGATACGAAAAAGGAAATTAATATTTATGTAAATACTGAGATACGTGCAGAAAAATATGAGTCTGTGTTATGTGGCAAGAGAATGTATGAATTTTCAAGTTTAGAGAAGCGATAAGGATCATTAGATCATTAGAAACTATATATGAGCACACTTCTTATGAAATGGTTCAATTTGAGGAAATATATAAGCGAGCCTAGGACTATAGCTTAAACAGGACGAACTATAAATGCATATCAATGACTGTCTAACGTATTACCGCATTTTAGAAGAATATAAGATGTATATTTTTGATTTCTTGTTATAAATAAGTCCCTCGATGTCTAAAAGTTCAAATAAATAAAGTATCATTACAGTACATAACATACTTTCAAAGTTACAATATTTACCACGATGCGAATTCTGTTTGCACATTTTGCAATTAGATTTCTCCATATACAAATGGTTAAATAAAATGAACACGATGAGTTTGAAAAGGAATTCTGATTACAACACTGTAACATTTAACCAACTAGGATGAACTAACTAATATATAAATCTTTCTCTTTATTCTGGAAAAAGACTTGCTTTCGATTGGTACCGTTTCATAACGTGAATTATAATTTCTCATATATCTGGTGATGATCAAAGTGGTCGATAACGTTTAAGTTCAGTTTAGTCATCTCAATGTAAATGTGCATATTGTATATTGAGTTTTAGTGTTTCTGAGAAAAACAAGTTTGAAGACTCAGAGATACACTAAAATGAGAAATACTGGGTTGTCTGGAAAGTCCATATCGATTTTTGGTAAGTAGTGAAGGTCTGAATATATCGAAATGGTTGGAAACAATTATCATGTATACATCCCTTAAAAACTGGAAAGGTCATGGAACAAATCGATACCTATGTAATTCATTAAAATACATAAAAATTCAAACGTGTCTTTGAATATTTCTTAAAAATTGGCACGAACTTTTTAGACACCCCAATAGATGACCAAGATATTAAGATCAAGATGTTCAAGATATTTCAACTAATGTTCGAATCAACTCTAAATTTCGCAGCCTTGGATTCCCTTTCAAGGCATGCATTGTCGATCGGTATAAGTATTTCTCACTAGAATGTTGAGAGACCTGTACAAATCGAGGGGGAGTTTGTTTGAGAGAATTACTGAAAGATCGGCCTTGAAACTGCGGGGGCTCTGAAAGACGCGAGAAGAAACATTAAAACTATCATCCGCGGCGCGATGCGTCTTCATAACGCTGCGATAAAACTTCCTCCTTGGCGCAATGGCCTAACTTTATTCTGGAAACTCCAGCAGACAGGGACGCTGCTTCTTCTGCAGTCGCCTTCCACGATTCGTCGTCCTTCTTCTTCCATTTGGTGATTGCTCGTCCGTTTCGAGAGGAAAAATATGGAGCGCATAGTCGCGAAAGTTGTCGTAGATGATCGAAGTGCTACAATGGACAGTTTCCTTATAGATTTCATTCGTTATTCGAAAGGTTGCTATATTTCGAATGCTCCTGTTGGAGATACAGGGGCACCCATGAGTAATTTCGTTTTTTGATACTGCCCAAAATGTGGTTTTACTTGAGAGTAATACAGTTTCGGTTTGCAATATAATCTTCATGGTTATCGACAATCTTCGCTAATCTCCTCAAAGAATTTTAGAGTAAAATATTCTTCAAATAGAATTTGAATAGCTGTCGTTGTGGAACATTTGTTTCCCTGGAAAAATGCATATACATATATTCTCGTCAAATTGTTTTGTGCCAGGTAAACTAAAATTCTAATCGACATTGATCCATAGCATTTATTGTAACAATTGTAACGATGTTGTAGTTTGATGTGTTTGGAAAATGTGATTATAAATATATATATGTATTTACAATTGTAGTGGTTATTTTCATATTACAAGATTTATAATAGCTTACAGAGATTGTATATACTATTTAAAATTCACGTTTTTGTCTCAAGTCAATTATACAAATACGTGTAATACGTAATTACATATTTGCATGTGTTTATAAAAACAAGAACTGCCAAAAACCAAGCTTTATGCTGCGCACAGACTTGTTCAGTCATTTTTTAATATTGTGCGCTTGTTTACACTGTCAATGATCTAACAAAATTAAATATCCCTCTTTTTTTATTCACATAAATCAATGATATCAATTAGTACAGTAACTCTTTAGCAGCAGAAAAGTGCATATCGTTGGGCTTTTTCTAATTAGAAATTTGTAAAACTTTACATTTAATGGTTCGTGATAAATAACTATAGTTTCTATAGCATTATTATAATTTGATTAAATCTTCACATTGAAAAAAAGTGAACAAAATAATCATATTTAAGAAACCGAAATTAAAATTGTAAAATACAATTTCATTAATAAATAACTGCCTAAATTATACGCATTTCTTTCTCTTTTCACAGGTAGAAAATATTGTTAAATACTATTAAATATAGCATAGCAAATATTATTTAGTTATAAGTGCAAGCATTTTGCAAGCATTTAATTTGTATAGAGGCAATGAAATCTTCACGAATCAAAATATATTAATTAAATTAAATCTAATAAAAATGCTTTATCCATACATTGCAGTTGGAACAAGCAGAATTATAGAAGAACGAGATAAAAAGATTGCAGTCGCTGTGAAATGGAGTACTAAGGGAGATTGAAACGATTGCATATAGTGCGTACATCTTCCTCGTAATAGTACATCAGTGAAAAACATTCAGTGGAACTATTACCGCAGGCTTTAGTTGTAATTTCGTCGTTAATGTATCGAAAAGTAATACACGTTGGCGCTAAAAATCCCGATGATACCATTTTCTTCGGTACCACGCGGCAATCAACGCGTTACGCTCTTAAACGAGACGGCGAGAGTGGTTCGATTAATGGATTCGTATAATTTTTAAAAACGCGAAACAATTTCTATCAAGGACGTATATCGTTCCCCGGATGATTATCCATATTTCCCGAGCCACGGGCCGCGATTTACTCCGTCGTTCCGTTACTTTTCACTGAAGGTGCACACGTCTATATAAGTCTCCATTGAATTCGATTCACTCGAGCGGTTCGTGCATTGCGGATACTCGGTGGGGCGGGTCGATCGCACCGTAAAATATTTAACGAGGCAGTTTCGCGGGGCGTCTTTGTAAACGTTGTGAATATCGCAATAAAATATATGTATAAGCGCGCACAGAGTCCTGGCCACGGTATACAAACGCCCGAAGACGTCGTCTTCTTCGTGAAACTCTTTCCTTCCTTAGACCGTTAACTCGCTCATCGACTTCCACCCCTCCTGCGAACTCTTTTTTTTCCCCTTTGCCTGGTTTTCGAACTCTCCCGGCAGTTCTTGGTGTCCAACAACCCCATAAAAAAAACACTCCGTCGGCCCATAACTGCGAATAGTTTCGCGAAGCACCGAACATAATGTTTAATTTTAGCGTTCCTTCCACCCTACAGTTCCGTTCACTCTTCGCGAAACAGCTCCGAGTGTTTTACTAACGTACGTTTCTATCTGTTGTTTCAGACGAATCGCGGGGATCATTAAAATCCGGTGCCAAGCTCCATTCGCATTCTGGTGAGTGATTCCTTGGATGGAATTGAGCTATCGATACTTCGCAATCGAATTAACCCGAGGATGTTGCTGCATTTATTTTTTAAGCTTATTCGAGATCATTATCGAACTTGAATGGATTTTTATATGTTTGTATTAGTTTACAAGAGCACTTGAACGTTAATGGCTGAATCTATTTGCTCTTTTTTTTTATAAATATGCATATTTAAAAGCAATTAATATGTGAAGTACAATTTCGTAGGTGTGTTCAGTAGAATTTGATTAAACGTCTTTGGATGAGCAAGATTTCTGAAGAATACATATAGATTTGAAGTATAGATTAATATAAACTCCCTCGAATTTATTAATAGATAAATATTGGCATACATTATTTTAGATTAATTTTAATTTCTCTTTTGGT